GTTTTTCATTTGGTTTTTCATTTGAACCTATTATTAATAGAGGGAAATTTTGCAAATATCATGAGATCCATATTATTTTGAAGAAATTATCATTTGCATAATACAAGGTGAGTCAATAGTGTGTTATCCTTGTATATTAGCCAAACCATCAGATAAATAGAGAAAATTCAAGTACAACAGTGATAGGGTTTCATGAGAACTTTCACATTAAATTGTTTTCATATATATCTGTATAGGGTGTTCGAATTCCAAGATATATTGACTGATGATTGTTTTTTTCCAAATGGAACACCCTGTATACCATTGCATTTTCAGGTTCTTCCTGAAGAGCTGATTCCATCAATGTATCACACTTGGGGTCTAGATTACAGAGATATAGGGTGTTCAAGAACAAGATTTTTCAATTTTAGGATTTTTTTTGTGGAATCTATTCAATATTGGTCAAAACGGCTCACATATCCTTATAAACTTTCGATTTACTATCTACTGACATTCAATCGGAACAAATAGAGGGTGGGTTAACATTCAGAATACTGATCAGAGCTTATTGTATCTGTTCCAAATAAATATCAGTAGATAGCTAATCAAAAGTTATGACAGGAACATGTGAGCCGTTTTGACCATTAATGAATAGTTTCGACACAAAAAATCCTACATTTGAAGAATCTCAATTGTCAACACCCTATATCTCTGTAATAATTCCCACTAGACACCAAGTGTGATGCATTGATGGAATCAACTCTTCAGGGAAAACTCGAAAATGCAATAATATACAAGGTGTTTCTTTGAAAAAAACCAATCATCAACCGATATCTTGGAATCCGAACACCCTATAGATATGAAAACAACTTTAGGTGATTGTTCTTATGAAACCCTATTACTGTTGTACTTGAATTTTCATTTTATATATCTGACGGTTTGGCTAATATCGGAGGAGAACACACTATAGTGACTCATTCTGTATACGAATAATATTCTCCCATAAATCTTGAACCTCCTTGAAACATCATCGAAAACCGCCTCAAGTTGTTACCATAATGTCCTGAGGTTGTCTCAAAAGATTTTATAGGGATGTTCTGAGACGTTATTAGTATGTAGAGAATGGTAACAGGAGGACGTCTTGAGAATGTCCTCAGGCTCGCTCTCTACGTCCTGAGGACATGATTGTGAACGCCTCAGAAGGGCCTCAAAAGGAATTTGTGCTATCTGGGCCAATTCTATGAAAAACGATTTTGATAGACTAATGTCACGACGGTTCCTACAAATTACTGCCGCTATGAATTACGGTTCCTATGAATTGCTGTCGCTATGAAATACGGTTCCTATGAATTACTGCCGCTATGAAATACGATTCCTATGAAATGATGTCGCTATGAATTACGATTCCTATGAATTGCTGTCGCTATGAAATACGGTTCCTATGAATTAATGCCGCTATGGAATACGATTACTATAAAGTGCTGTCGCTATGAATTACGGTTCCTATGAATTACTGCCGCTATGAATTACGGTTCCGATGGATTGCTGTCGCTATGGATTCCGTTTCCTATGAATTGCTGTCGCTTTGAAATGCGGTTCCTATGAAATACGGTTCTGATGGAATACAGTTGCGATGAAATACAATTCTGTCAAACTACCAATTCTATGAAAAACGATTTTGATAGACTAATGTCACGACGGTTCCTACAAATTACTGCCGCTATGAATTACGGTTCCTATGAATTGCTGTCGCTATGAAATACGGTTCCTATGAATAACTGCCACTATGAAACACGATTCCTATGAAATGATGTTGCTATGAATTACGGTTCCTACGAATTGCTGTCGCTATGAAATACGGTTCCTATGAATTACTGCCGCTATGAAACATGATTCCTATGAAATGATGTTGCTATGAATTACGGTTCTGATGAATTGCTGACGCTATGAAATACGGTTCCTATGAATTACTGCCGCTATGAAACACGATTCCTATGAAATATTGTCGCTATGAATTACATTTCCTATGAATTGCTGTCGCTATGAAATACGATTCTATGAATTACTGCCGCTATGAAATACGGTTCCTATAAATTACTGCCGCTATGAAATACGGTTCCTATGAAATGTTGTCGCTATTAATTACGTTTCCTATGAAATGATGTTGCTATGAAATACGATTCTATGAATTACTGCCGAAATGTAATACGGTTCCTATAAATTTCTGCCGCTATGAAATACGGTTCCTATGAAATGTTGTCGCTATGGAATACGGTTCCTATGAATTGCTGTCGCTATGAAATACGGTTCCTATGAATTACTGCCCCTATGAAACACGATTCCTATGAAATATTGTCGCTATGAATTACATTTCCTATGAATTGCTGTCGCTATGAAATACGATTCTATGAATTACTGCCGCTATGAAACACGATTCCTATGAAATGATGTTGCTATGAATTACGGTTCCTACAAATTACTGCCGCTATGAATTACGGTTCCTATGAATTGCTGTCGCTATGAAATACGGTTCCTATGAATTACTGCCGAAATGTAATACGGTTCCTATAAATTTCTGCCGCTATGAAACACGATTCCTATGAAATGATGTTGCTATGAATTACGGTTCTGATGAATTACTGCCGCTATGAAATACGGTTCTATGAATTACTGCCGAAATGTAATACGGTTCCTATAAATTTCTGCCGCTATGAAATACGGTTCCTATGAAATGTTGTCGCTATGAAATACGGTTCCTATGAATTGCTGTCGCTATGAATTACTGCCGCTATGAAACACGATTCCTATTAAATATTGTCGCTATGAATTACATTTCCTATGAATTGCTGTCGCTATGAAATACGATTCTATGAATTACTGCCGCTATGAAATACGGTTCCTATAAATTACTGTCGCTTTGAAATACGGTTCCTATGAAATGTTGTCGCTATGAATTACATTTCCTATGAATTGCTGTCGCTATGAAATACGATTCTATGAATTACTGCCGAAATGTAATACGGTTCCTATAAATTTCTGCCGCTATGAAATACGGTTCCAATGAAATGTTGTCGCTATGAAATACGGTTCCTATGAATTGCTGTCGCTATGAAATACGGTTCCTATGAATTACTGCCGCTATGAAACACGATTCCTATGAAATGTTGTCGCTATGAATTACATTTCCTATGAATTGCTGTCGCTATGAAATACGATTCTATGAATTACTGCCGCTATGAAGTACGGTTCCTATAAATTACTGCCGCTATGAAATACGGTTCCTATAAATTACTGCCGCTATGAAATACGGTTCCTATGAAATGTTGTCGCTATTAATTATGTTTCCTATGAATTGCTGTCGCTATGAAATACGGTTCCTATGAATTACTGCCGCTATGAAACACGATTCCTATGAAATGATGTTGCTATGAATTACGGTTCCTACAAATTACTGCCGCTATGAATTACGGTTCCTATGAATTGCTGTCGCTATGAAATACGGTTCCTATGACTCACTGCCGCTATGAAACACGATTCCTATGAAATGATGTTGCTATGAATTACGGTTCTGATGAATTGCTGCCGCTATGAAATACGGTTCCTATGAAATATTGTCGCTATGAATTGCTGTCGCTATGAAATACGATTCTATGGATTACTGCCGCTATGAAATACGGTTCCTATGAATTACTGCCGCTATGAAATACGGTTCCTGTGAAATGTTGTCGCTATGAAATACGGTTCCTATGAAAAGTTGTCGCTATGAAATACGGTTCCTATAAATTACTGCCGCTATGAAATACGGTTCCTATGAAATGTTGTCGCTATGAAATACGGTTCCTATGAATTGCTGTCGCTATGAAATACAGTTCCTATGAATTACTGCCGCTATGAAACACGATTCCTATGAAATATTGTCGCTATGAATTACATTTCCTATGAATTGCTGTCGCTATGAAATACGATTCTATGAATTACTGCCGCTATGAAATACGGTTCCTATAAATTACTGCCGCTATGAAATACGGTTCCTATGAAATGTTGTCGCTATTAATTACGTTTCCTATGAATTGCTGTCGCTATGAAATACGGTTCCTATGAATTACTGCCGCTATGAAACACGATTCCTATGAAATGATGTTGCTATGAATTACGGTTCCTACAAATTACTGCCGCTATGAATTACGGTTCCTATGAATTGCTGTCGCTATGAAATACGGTTCCTATGACTCACTGCCGCTATGAAACACGATTCCTATGAAATGATGTTGCTATGAATTACGGTTCTGATGAATTGCTGCCGCTATGAAATACGGTTCCGATGAAATATTGTCGCTATGAATTGCTGTCGCTATGAAATACGATTCTATGAATTACTGCCGCTATGAAATACGGTTCCTATAAATTACTGCCGCTATGAAATACGGTTCCTATGAAATGTTGTCGCTATTAATTACGTTTCTTATGAATTGCTGTCGCTTTGAAATAGGGATCCTATGAATTGCTGCCGCTATCAAATACGGTTCCTATGAAATGCTGTCGCTATGAATTGCGGTTCTGATGAATTACCGTCGCTACGAAATACGGTTTTTATAAAATACTGTTACTATCAAGTACCGTTCCTACATAATACCATTCTGATGGATTACTTCACGATGAATTACGTTTTGATGCTTTACATACCTATAAAGTACGGTTCTATGTATTACAATGCTACGGTTTATATTCCTACAGAATACTGTTCTGATTCATTACATACTCTATGAGTTACCAACTCTATGGAATATTTTCCTATGAAAAATGTTCCTACACTTTATATTCTGACACTTTGGGTGTTCCCTACGTACATACCTACCTCCTACCTATCCTAATTGAATATTTTTTGTACCTACTCATCTGGAATTTCACTGTGAGTATGTATAGGTATTTATTCGTTTCTTTCAATTGACATTAATAATTTCTCGTAGTAGCAAGGGTGGTAGGTACTGACCCAACAACAAAGGCAAATGAAACAATGTATAATTTGAACAATAAAATATATTATTAAAATCGTATACATTTTGAAGCATACAGATCAGTTACAATATCTACTATACACGCAGTTATTACAAATAACATTATGCTGTACAAGTTTTTTCTTCAATAAAAAAATATACAAAAAGAATTTGTGCTCAGTCATCAATGAAATTGCATTTCCTAAAAGGAAACTATACAAAAAAATATCAAATGAAATTTCAGATAATTCCAAAACATATTTTTCATGGGGTTTGATATGTTCTATGCTATAGATTCTTCATATGATAAAGCTAATAATCTTTACCAATGTCGTTCTACAACTTTTTAGACATAAAGTTTATCATGTATTTTATGTAAGTATAGTACGAAAATGATACATTTTGAATGCCAGGTTTGCAAAGATGCTCAGATCGACATTTTCATCATGAAATGTGGTATTTTGTAGATGCAAATTCACCTGGATATTTTCACACTTACATGATTAGTCTATACATTTAAGATAATCTGGACAGGGTGATAAGTGAATCCCTATCAAACAATTTTTCAACTTCCTCACTAATAGTATGGGAGGATCAATCTACTGTAGAACACCCTGTAAGATACATTACTTTACCTTCTGTTTTAAGTTGCGGTTGCACAAACGTATATATTTACAAATTGTCAGAATTGACAGTTATCAATAAGTACAAAAGATTATCGATATTCCTTTTTGATAATTTATCATAAAATATCTATGAACTAACCAGCAACTACAAGAATATATTAATATATTACATATTTCTCAAAAACACACTTTCATTTTGATACTTCAATAAAATGTCACAAAGATGGTCCCTTAACAACGAAATTATGGCACAGAAAATATATATAAATAATGTCTATTTCATCAAATTTCTATATTCATTCGGTACTGGGTAGGTACATTTTATCTTTTTTGAGGAGCTCTTTACACAAAGTGAAATATACAAATAAATGTCTACACAAAGAAGAAACTTTTGAGAACCGTCGAAAATAATAGCGATATAAACAACTATACAACTTTCCCAATTTTTGAAAATGTTCGCGTATAGAAAGAATGAAATGTAGAATATTTTGTCACGAACCCGATGATTTATTTGAAGTACCAAGTCCACATGCACTAATATAGATATTATAATCACATCATATTTTTTTCAAATTTACGTATATTATCGATCACTTTTTCGAATTAGACACAAATTCATGTCTGGGAAGAATTTATCTAACGTGGCAGTGATAGCTTGCATGTGAAACAGATAAAAAACCGCATTCATATAGAATGGAAAGAACTATCTTGATTTTAGAGTAAGGTATTGGAAACACTTGATTTTTGTATATGATCACTGCCAACTTCCCTACCATTGTATCCAATATATTGATTCATATTAGATATAGCATTTAAAAAATAAACAGTCGAAAACATGTTAGACAAGAACATACATCCCAGATTGAGCCATCATCAAAAAATCCAGTTGAATTCATCAACTTCGTGAGACTGATCCTGCTTGTCTAACCATATACATTTTGTACACAAATATTAGTTATAGCTACTAAATGAGTATGCAAAGAAAAATCCAAGTCCAAGATCGCAATCTTCTTCTATACATCCACTTCTTCGAAATAAACAATAAATAAATACAACTGTACAAAAAGAAAACACACGGAGCGTCCAATCAAAGATGGCACACAAACGACGACTAGAGAGCAGTGACCATATCGCGACTACCGCGGGCTGTCACTCAAATGGGCCCGTAATTGCTCAAAGACGGTCCTGAACCTTGTGGAGGAGGATGACTCAGCACTCCCTCACCCCCATGTCATACGTGACTGAGCGGGGGTTGTTTGAGTACGTGGTGGTGCAGGTGGTGCTGACTTGCTGAGGCTACAGAACCAGTGGGGCCCAAGAGTGAGGCTGAGCCCGGTCCTGCTACTAGATATTGCGGTAGGGGTGGTTTGCAGGACCTATTGTTGATTAGTACTGCGTTTGCGCCAGACAAATCGGATCTCCCGAAGAGTCTGCTCCATAATCTCCTCCAGGAGTCCAGAGTTTTTCCGGACCATATCCAAACACCTGAAGTTATACCGACTGCGAGTGCCATGAAGTACTTGAGCATGAGCACAGAGTAGAGAGGCCGTATTTTCATGGGCATTATGTCGGCGTGGGGGCAAGAACAAGCTAGAGATTTGAGCCACTCCTCGTGGAAGGTGTTTTCGTACAAATAACAGCCGATGACGATTGTAGCTGGCACCGTGTAGAGCACGCTGAATATCCCTATCCTAATCATGAGTTTCTCGAGCTTGTCTGCTTTGGAACCTGCACCAGCACCGCCTTGCTTCTTGATAACATTTCTTATCCTGAACAGAGATACGAATCCAGCCATCAGGAAGCTAGTGCCGAGTATCAAGTAGACCACTAAAGGTCCCAGAACGAAAGTTCTCAGGTTCTCCATGTTCATGTTACCAACGTAACAGATTCCTGATACGGGGTCACCATCTACTGCTCCAGATAAAAGTACTGCTAAAGTTTGAAAAGTGGGTATGAGCCATGCTGCAATGTGGAAGTACTGAGCATAGCTGGCGATCGCTTCGTTGCCCCACTTCAGACCCGCAGCTAGGAACCAGGTCAGCGATAGAACGACCCACCAGATTGAGGAGGCCATGCCGAAGAAATAGACTAGGAGAAACACTAAAGTGCAAAGGCTTGGCCCGGTCGAAGAATAGCGTATCATCTTGTCTTCGCACGCAACTTCTTCGTGGCCAACACCTACTCGTATCAGATAGCCGACTGACACTAGGAAGTAACATGCTGATAGGAATACTATGGGTCTCTCAGGGTATTTGAACCTTTCGGTTTCGATGAAGAACGTGGTGAGAGTCATTAGCGTGGAGGCGGCGCACAGACCCGACCACAGGGTGATCCATATGGTGGCGAATTCCTTTTCCTCTGGGTTGAAATAGGTCTCCTTGCAGGGGAAGGCACAGTTTGCGACCCCTCCGACGCTTCTGTTTACTGACGGTCCCATTTCTCTCCCCAGAGAGACCAGGGGGCGCTGGCACTCGCACTTGCACTCTTTTGCGCCCTTTCTTCCGTCTCCTTGGGGATTTGGGCAGTTTTTTGAACCGGTTTTGCATGGCCTGAGGGTTTTGGCCTTACCCGGCGATGGCTTTGGTGTCGAAATAGACCTGTGTGGATCGGTGTCGTCCATGCAAAGGGGTTCATCGTTACCTTTACCTTGCACGGGGAAATGTTCGCATTCCATCTTCTCGGGCCAGCTGAACCCGTATTGCGTCATGATAGGCTCGCAACCTGCTCTGGCTCTTCTACATAGATCTCTACAGGGTGGTAGCGGTTTATCGTAGTTCTTTAAACAAATCGGCGCATACATAGAGCAGAGGAAAAATCTCAAGTCTGGCGAGCACTTAATCTCGACTAGCGGCCAAAACTGATGGACTTCTAATCCTGCTTCGTCTTGCGTTTCGTGATTCATCTCGTTTGGCATCTTTGTGTAGTTGTAGCCAATGTGCAGACACATTGGAATGGTGATATTTTCGCATTTTCCTTCTGCTTCTAGAGAGTATATCGCCGAGGAACTGGCTGTGAGGTTAAGGTCAAGGGCTGTGACCAATAGTGCCACGAAGCTGAAGCTCATCGGGCGCATGGTGATCGGTGACTGTCGAGCGTTGTGGCAATTCTGATCAGCTCGGAAGTTGCTTGATGGTTAATGGTTCATGTTTACTGATTCTGTCGCTTCTGTAGTGGAAACTTCGGTCCGGACATTATACCCTGCAACAAAGAGACGGGGCGTTAATAAGACTAATGATGAATGTTGTGTGAAGAGTATCGCACACAATTGAACTAGTCAGTCTTCATTATGTTGACAAATTTTCAAGTGGTCATATAGTTAGACGTGATGAGTTATATTTACATTCATTAGAGTTATCCTCGGATTTATCAGAGATGCATATTTCTAGCTATTATGATTGATGATTGTTGTTATCTGAGTACAGTATTTGACCTATACTGATAATGAAAAATTATCATGATCGCATCTGAATCTTTGCACATGGCCTATGTTGAGTAAACAACATATGACGATATATCATGTTCAGAAAACGAAATTTAAGCTGGTAACAGATGCCATTTCGTTTTCAACTAATATCAAATAACCTTAAGTGGTCTTCTCGATTTCATGTTCCTTATATTCACAAAAAAAAACTAACATCCATATAGTAGTAGCATGACAGCATAACTACTCACAGCATAATTCATTGAAAAAAATAGGATTCAAACGAAGTTAGCGATAGGAAATACTGCAACATGGCGCTTTTTGATATCTTATTTTATACGCGACTAAAATATTGAGTTCATTTTGAATTCAACTGAACTGTGTAGGAAGTGGTCGTTTGGATTCCTGAATAAATTTGGTAGGGATTCTCATAATTCGATAGAATTAACATTTCTTCAAACAATGCGAATTAAGTATGCGTTTTCACACCAGTCCAATGGGCGGACCAGATGTTCCACTATCTCTGATCTTAATATTTCTTAATTATGGTTAATCAACATTGTTATACGGGTTTTCGAGAATTATTAATTGATTATGCTTATAAGGTTAAGCTATCGCATATTTCAGAACTAGATCTACACATGAATAAATAACCGTCAGATTTCAAGTTCAAGTTCAAGTTTTATTTCGTCATTTTTGATACAAATTGTATATGTGACACGTCGAAAACAAAAACAAAAAACAAATATACAAACAAAGTACAGCAAATACATCATATTAAGAGAGGTTCTCATACTCTTTGAGGGAGTAAAAGCAACTTGTTAGAAGATATTCTTTGAGGAGCTTTTTAAATTTCACATGGTTTTTTTCTTCTTTGATGGTTTGGGGAAGTAAATTGAAATATTTTGTTCCTGAGTAATTTGGGGATTTTTTATACCCACAATAGTTACATTTCGTCAAATGGAAATCATTTCTGTTCCTTGTAAAATGATGATGGATTTCTTTATTCTGCATGAATGATACGGAATTTGAATGAACATAACTTAGCGTTTTATAAAGGTAAATGCATGGTAGTGTAAGAATACGGTTATTTTTAAATGTTTCTTTGCAAGATTCTCTATATTTGACATCAAAAATCAGACGCAAAAAACGTTTTTGCATAATGAAGATCCGATTTACATCTGATGCTAGTCCCCAAATGGAAATATTTATACTTATTTTGGAATATACCAATGCATAGTAAATGTCCAGTAGATTATGATTCGTGAAATTCGACTTCAATGTTAGGAAAGCGTAATAAGTTTTTTTCAGTGTTGTGCATAGGTATTCAATATGTTTGTTGAAAGATAATTTACAATCCAGTTGTGTTCCAAGGAATTTTGTACAGTCTGATAATTCTAATCGCGGATCAATAGGAAGTGGACGGTAGTATTTGTTTGAAAATTGAATGAACGTTGTTTTATCCAAGTTGTTTATCAAATGGTTACATCTACACCATACTTCGAATTCATCAATGACAGTTTTTATTTTATTATTCATTTCGTTTGGACTTGGGGAAGCTACAATGATGGTAGTATCATCGGCGTACATAAAAACTCGGCCTTCTGTTATATTTTCTGGAAGATCGTTTACGTATAATAAAAACAGCAGTGGTCCCAGTACTCTGAAATAGGAATATACCGATTAGAATGATCAACGTTTTGACCTAGATGTGGACCAAATAAATCGAATTCTACAGGTTTAAGATTGATGGGAGAAAATTGAATTCCTATAGAGAATTTTCTAGAATTACTGAGAACTGATGAGGTGACCATCAATTAATTCCAAACTAATTCACTACGCCCATTTCGAAATCATCTATGTGTACAGGGTTATTCGTCGAATAGGTCCACCTCATTATCCACGTTATTTTTCACCAAAACAAAAAATTATATATAATTTCGAAAGTAATGTCGCATACGGCCTTCCTGCATCTCTTATTAGAAGTTTTTGAATTTGATATCTAAAATCGTGACAAACCACCAATCAATCTATTACTCACAACCAATCAATCTTTCACTCGATCTTTTGTACATATATTTTTTCGGATTCTGTTTTACCTCTATATAATATATGTCTTCAACTTGGTATGATTATAACTTTTGTGACCCCAGGAAACAATTCCGCAGATATCGTGTTAGTCATGATGGAGAATATATTCCATAGTTGTATTTTGCAGAATTATTGAATAGTTAGGTACATTATATTATCAAATTGATTGGGTAATAACTATCGCACAAACATTATTTATCGGGGCTGGTTTTAATGAGGAAAGAAAAAGTATTCGTGGTTTGCCATGTTTTTTGGAATCACTCTGTGACATTTCTGATAATGGCCGTGAAACGACCTTAACTTCCTTGAACTGCTTGTTTTTTCCTATCGTCGGAAATGATTGAATCAATGATTAACCCCATTTCTTATTTCAATTTCAGATTGTCAAGAATATTGAACATTTACGTCATTAATTTTTGTTGTGGAATTGTATGAAAGAGATCGAAGACATAGAAGAGATAGAAGAGGCAGAAGACACAGAAGTGACAGAAGACATGAGAGACATATGACACAGGAGAGACAGAAGATAAAGATCTAGAAGATCAAGAAGAGACAGGAGAGACAGAATGGATAGCAGAGATAGAAGATAAAAAAGATACAAAAGAAGCACAAGAGACAGAAAACATTGAAGGGGCAGGATGGACAGAAGAGACAGAAGAAACAGATAAGAGAGAAGATACAGAAGAGATGCAGGAAGGAGAGGAAAGAAATAGCTGGGGACGATAGCAAAATAGATTGAAAAGGGAAAAAACGAGGAGTCCAACTATCAAAATTTTGAGTAATTGGATACTAAAAGAATCCCGCTTTCTCCCTTGTTCCTACGTCCATGGTTGAGACAACCGTGGCTGATTATGGCAATCGATTCGAGCAAACTCCCGCATAGCTTCGAACGTTTATTTGCTCGGATTCGTTTTGCGTGCAAATCGGACGGAAGATGCTCGTTCATCGCTGGGCTCGTTAACTCTTCCAAACAGTTTCTTCTTATTATTATTATTCTTTCCTCTTTGAGGCTGGTTTAATTTATCGATTTCCTTTATTAAAAAACCGTAGGTAGGCGCCCTATCGTGCTGAAACATCTTGCGACGAATTACGGCGCACATCCAGTCCGAAAATGAACTAATTCGAAACTAATTCAACTTTCTGAATTTACCAGCTCTGAGCAAAACAATGCAGTTTCATAAGAACTGTTGTTGATAATGAAGGTGACACACAAACATCCATGGTAGATAAGAGGTATTCAAAATTACTGAACGGGTGTGTATAATTTGCGGACTGGAATAAAATGTTGCGGACTGGCTATTTCCATCAAACTTTTCGATGTTTTTATTGCATATCTGGATTCTGCTCACCGATATACACGATGAGAAGTTTCAGATTTTTCTCTATGACCCCCCTGGGCAGCACTTTACTCCTGTGTTTTTTCATAAAATCTTGCGGACTGGGTATTTTTGAGAGGCAAATCATCTCAATTTCACCATAAATCGATTTATCTCATGAAAATACACGATGAAAAGTTTTTGAATTTCTTCCCCAGCCCCCCTGGGGAGCACTTTACTCGTGTGTTTTCTCATAAAATCTTGCGGACTGGGTATTTTTGAGAGGCAAATCATCTCAATTTTACCATAAATCAATTTATCTCATGAAAATACACGATGAAAAATTTTTGAATTTTTTCCCTAGCCCCCTTGGGGAGCACTTTACTCGTCTGTTTTTTCATAAAATCTTGCGGACTGGGTATTTTTGAGGGTCGAATCATCTCAATTTTACCATAAATCGATTTATCTCATGGAAAAACACGATGAAGAGTTTTAGAATTTTTTCCCTAGCCCCCCTGGGGAGCACTTTACTCGTGTGGTTTTTCATAAACTCTTGCGGACTGGGTATTTTTGAGGGACAAATTATCTCAATTTCACTATAAATCGATTTATGTCATGAAAATACACGATGAAAAGTTTTTCAATTTTTTCTATGACCCCCTTGGGGAGCACTTTACTCTTGTGTTTTTTCATAAAATCTTGCGGATTGGGTATTTTTGAGAGTCAAATCATCTCAATTTCACCATAAATCGATTTATATCATGAAAATACACGATGAAAAGTTCTTGAATTTCTTCCCCAGCCCCCCTGGGAAGCACTTTACTCGTGTGTTTTCTCATAAAATCTTGCAGACTGGGTATTTTTGGGAGGCAAATCATCTCAATTTTACCATAAATCAATTTATCTCATGAAAATACACAAGGATAAGTTTTTGAATTTTTTCCCTAGCCCCCCTGGGGAGCACTTTACTCGTGTGTTTTTTCATAAAATCTTGCGGACTGGGTATTTTTGAGGGGCAAATCATCTCAATTTCACCATAAATCGATTTATCTCATGAAAATACACGATGAAAAGTTTTTGAATTTTTTCTATGACTCCCCTGGGGAGCACTCTGGCTCTTGTGTTTTTTCATAAAATCTTGCGGACTGGGTATTTTTGAGAGTCAAATCATCTCAATTTCTCCATAAATCGATTTATATCATGAAAATACACGATGAAAAGTTTTCGAATTTTTTCCCCAGCCCC